GAACTGTCACAAGTGAGGCAAAAATCTAATTCATGTAGGCGTAAGTAACTTGTGTCTACGCTCGTCGACACGCACACAAATATACAAATAATGATGCCATGGAATAACATTTCCCTCAAAAGTGGAGAAATTGTATCTTGCCTAACTCATCATTAAGTTAAAGGTGCCTACAGATTTGCCCGACATTGTCGATCAGGTGCCCACAGATTTGCTCGATTTTGTCGATCGTTACTGTCGATCGACAGTGTCAAGTGACAAGAATTTTCAAAAATTCATTTTTGGTAATCCTTATGGAAATGGCATTTATATCTGAATACACGATGGCGGACACCACTTTTCAAATAAATGCAATATGGGTATCATTGTCGAGGTATTTGGAGGTGCTCACTACAAATATAGCATTTATTTCTAAATCCAAGATGGCGGACACGAGTTTTCAAATAAATGCAATATGGGTATCATTTTCGAGGTATTTCGGTGTGCTCATTACGAATATGGCGCTCATTTCTAAATCCAAGATGGCAGACACGACAGTTCAAATAAAAGCAATATGAGTATTCGTAATGAGCACCTCCAAATACCTGGAAAACGATACCCAACTTAACATTATTCGAAAAATCGTGCCCGCCATCTTGGATTTAGAAATGAGTTAATGCTACACTTGAAATCGTCACATTGGTTAAACTCTACCGCTCATTCGTAAGGCAGATTCCCCCGAGAAGTATGAGCGAGAAACTTTAGGGGTTGCTCTTTGTAAACAATATTTGTACGCATTCAACTTGTAGAAATTCTGCAACCATCGCGACATTGTCTATTCTCAAAAAATTACGTAATATAATTATTTTAAAACAGTATAGCAAAATGGGGAGAAAGAAATCCGTTACTTTGCAACATTTTCAAATGACAAAGACCTTACAGGCACTGCCAATGCGCCCGTCACACTAAGATATACATTGACAAGTCCCATGTGCCCGAAAATTCACCAGCACCCTTATCCTTCCAAACCGGAACATAAGGTTTCCCTGGACGAACTCTTTCACAAAGAGCTCTTCTGCTTCTAAAACTCTATTAGTTTTATTATAATTTGGTAATTCTTGCCAATCGTGGTACGTACGCGACTTTGAAACTAATTAGTCTAAATATTCTCGTAAGGTATGTCAACGACATACGAATTTTCATAGCCACCATTTTAGACTTCATGTTATTAAAAATTATTGAAACGTATTTTTAAACTGACAAGTCGCAATAAAGTGGGTATATAAAAATATTGCTTAAAAAACTAGTATCTTTTTCTTAGAAATCCTAATTTAAATACGTTTTCAACTAAGGTTAAATACGTTCAATAGATAAAAAATTATCTTACAATAAATAGATAATAATAACGACCAAAACTAATCGGAAGGTGTATTAACGGATTCATCATCACTAATAGTTTTGTTTTATCGAAATACAGTTAAATAGCACGCCCGGACTTACATAAAATATTTAAATTCAACTCAATGTCGCTTAAGATAAAAACTGTACACTGAAGTGTAAAGCTGAACTAACTCTAAAAATAACTAGAACACATACATTTGGTGTATCACCGATATACTTTAAATATAAATAATCTCGGTACAAAGTACTAAACAAACCGACCTGAAAAGTCCGTGCAATTACATCTATTTGCCAAGTTTTATTGAAATCGGTTACCGGAAAGTGCGCGAAACCGGATTCATGCCCTAGTTTGCCACCCTTAGAGGTGGAATATTTTCTTTAAATTTGAATAGGACTACTAGGGTACCCTCTTTCCAACAAAAAAAATCATCTAAATCGGTTACAAATGGAGTTAACGCGTAACATACAAACAAAAACAAAAAAACATACAGTCGAATTAAGAGACTCCTCCTTTTTTCAAGTCGGTTAATTAAAAAATAATGATATTGCAAATCAGTCTTATGATACAAATATAAATCGAAATATTGAACTAATTTAACATTATTAGCTCATTTTATGTTTTAAATTTCTTTATATGCACGTGTATGAGTGAAAAAAGGTGAGTTTGCATATAAAGTAACATAGTTCGCAATAGAACAATGCGATACCTCCAATAAACACTAAGCCAACTTTATTTTTTGGCCATTTTCTCTTATTTTTGTAACAGCCATATTTATTTACTAATATTATGCTCCCTGATTTTGTGAAAAAACAAAAAAAAAAAAAACAAAAAACAAAGTTCGAAAAAAAATAAAAAAGCGAATTTGTGAAAAAAAGAAACAAAAAACGAAATAAAAACAGAAAGGATTAAACTAAAGTTGACGTAGTATTTATTGAAAGTATCGAATGTATTTGTAGGCATTTCTACCACAGCCAATTTCACTACGAGCTCGCGAGGATTTGTGAAATATACCCCAAAAAGTCATTTTAAATGTCGTTGAATAATGTCAACGTTAACATTCACAACGTCGTTCGTAATAATAACTCCTAACGAAGTAGAAACGCCATTTTGAATTAAAATATGTATGTATTACTCTAGACGTATTGGAATACAATTTGTTTAGGTATCAAGATAAAACGATAAAGTATCTGGTCATATAATAAATGCTTTATTTATAATATTATAATATGCTTTAAGCGTTAGACTGGATCCAGCTGGACGCTGTAGAAACGCGGGCGTTCACACCAGGGAAGAACGGATCAGCACATCCAAGACCGAAAGAGCAGACGCCAACAACAATATTGTTGTGTATCAGCGGGCCACCAGAGTCGCCCTGGCACTGATCACGACCACCGACGTCCAACCAGCCAGAGCACAGCATATTAGCAGTAATAGAGATACCACGAGTGCCGTATCGTTGACTGCAGACTGCCTGGTTGATTGTCCAGATTTGAACGTGACGTAGTTGCTCAGAAGCTGGACCGTTACTCTACAAAAAAATAAAATAAAGATAAAGGGTGACGGTTTTAGTTTTAACAGGGAGAAACAATAAAATAAAAGAATATTAATGCAATTACCGAAGTGCGTCCCCATCCGATGGCCCACACGACCTGGTTATCACCAAGATTGTAGTTGGAACCTGCAATGCTTGCTGGTGCTACGGTACCAGCAACATACTGGATATTAGAGCTAAGTCTCAAAATGGTGAAATCGTTGTTTAAAGTATTGGCATTATATTGGGGATGATTGATAATTTGAGCCGTCAGATGAACAGCGCCACCGCTGTTTGCCCAGGAAGAGCCTACACGACTGCGCCACCTTCCAGCAATGTTGCCGGTTCTGTGAAAGTAAAATTATTAGTTGGATGATCAGAATAAAATTATAAATCAATAATATTTCAATTATTAGTCACACATTCTATCAAATACATAATTAGTAAGACACTGAAACCCTTAGGAGGTTTATAAGTCTCACGTCTTAAATAATGTACATTCTATAATTCATTTTAGTACATACCCCACGGTGCAGTGAGCAGCGCTCAGTACTGATCTCTGGTTAAGGATGGCACCACCACAGCTTTGCCAGAATGTAGTCTGGGCTTGAGAGTAAAGCAAAGCTACTCCATATGGATATTGGTTAATGGTAGTCAATGATCCACCAACGATTCTTTGTGGTTCATAATGATCTGGAGGTGGCCCGGCTACTTCAGCTGTAGAAATAATAAAGACAAATTTAAATTTTCAAGACATTGGTTCACTGACTTTACTTCGTAGCGTTATATGGCTGGCAAAAAATATTTTGGATTCTATTTCATTAGTATGTAATGAATTAATATCTAAAACTACAATGAATGTATTAGTCAAATGCAAAAATAGTCACTTTGTTTGCCATCACAGACTCGCGCTTTTCCATATTAGACAATATCACATTCATTTCTTTGATCTCAAAGTTAGTAACTAAAGCACTTGTGTTATGGAAATCAACACAACGACGGTACCACAAACACCCAGACCCGAGACACTATAGAAAGATAGTTTTTTGACCCGGCCGGAGATCGAACCCAGGACTTCAGAAATGGCGACACCATGAAAACCGGTGTGCAAGCCACTCGACCATGGAGGTCGTCGTCATCACAAGTCGTATTGTTATAGCGTCATCAGATTTACAAAGTGTACCAAAGTTCAAGTCGATTTTCCTAGTAGAAGAATACACAAAATAAAGTTTTCATCACACTTGCTCGTAAATAGTATTATTGCATGGTGGCTACCTTGACTGAAAAAAGACTGAGTCAAAGTCAAAGTCAAAGATTATTTATTCCATAGGTAAAATAAATTTACACTTGAAAACGTCACATTTAAGCTACTGCTCGTTCACTACGCTGACTTCCCTGAGAAGAAATAGCAAGAAAGTCTACGGATTGCTCTTTTCAAATAAACTTAAATGCTATGGAATACACTTTGAATCAAATTTGTGTGGATTCTAGAGCCATGTCGTCTTTCCATACATCTTTATCTAACACGTAGTCTTCAATTTTGTAATATGATTTTTCGATGAAAATATTTTTAATGTAGTTTTTAAACTTAGGAAATGATAAACTTAATATATGCTCCGGAATCTTATTGTAAAAACGTATACAGTTCCCCATAAAAGAGTTGTTTACCTTTGTTAAACGAAATCGTGGTACCATGAGTTTGGACTTAGCTCTAAGGTTAATATTATGGATATCTTCTTTCTTATTGAAATTATGTATATTTTTACGGGCATATAAAATATTTGAGTAAATGTACTGTGATGCCACAGTCATGATACCAGTCTCCTTAAACTTTTCTCTGAGATAAACCCGAGAGCCTAGACGGTACACAGAACGAATCGCGCGTTTTTGCAATAAATATGGTTTGAATATCTGCCGCTTTACCCCACATGAGAATGCCGTAGAACATTATACTATGGAAGTAACTAAAGTAAACTAGTCTAGCAGTACTAACATCGGTAAGCTCACGTATTCTGCGGACTGCGTATGCAGCGGAGCTTAATCTGCTGGCCAGGGACGATATATGTGGAAACCATTGAAGTTTACTATCTAAGGTCACTCCCAAGAAGACTGCTTTATTAACAAGGTCTAACTTTTCTCCGTTTATTTCTATGCTTGGACTAGTCGATTTTACGTTAGGTAAGTCATTCAAATTTAACACATTTTGTCTTCTTGGTATTCTTGGTACCTGATCTTGGTATCTGATCTTTAAATGGCTTTGCTGATCTTCATCAAACATAGCTAAGAATAAGAACCATACCGACTAGCCTTCAATTTAAAACACCGCTTTTCTTCTTCTTCTTTTAAATGTTATGGCCCCATCGAAATAATCAATGATTTTGCCAATGTCAAGTAAAAATAACTATGTACGGTAGTTAAGTATTATAATAAAAATTATACAAAAAAAATGGCGCTTTTAAATCAGTCCATCCGTTTGGCAGCTAGGATGCCACAAACAGACATACGGATACATAGGTACACAACCGAAGGCTTCAAAGTTATAAAAAAGCAAAAAAACAAAGAATAATAGAAAATCTCCTCTCATTTTGCATAGAGGGTCTTTTTTTATAATATCAAGTGATGGGACGAGCAAGTCGTGCGCCTGGTGGTAAGCGACAGACTATCCATAACAGTTGCAGTGCCACTCAGAGCTTTAAAACGCAAAGACCTTAGGGGCACTGTCACTGCGCTCTTCACCCTGAGACATAAGTTGACAAGCCCCATGTGCCTGTAATTTCACCAGCACCCTTACCCTTCTAAACCGGAACGCAGTAATGCTAACATTACTGCTTGGCGGCAGAAATAAGGTCTAAAATAAATGCTATTGCAAATTAATGAAAATGTAAGTAACAATATTTCATGTAAGAATCCAAAGTACTAATATATATAACAAAATATAAATAAATAAATAAACGTAACACGAAACGTAAAACTGGATTTGAGCAGAATTAGACAAAATATTAATATCATTATGTTTTTTCTTACCCGAGGCAATAGCCAAACAAGCAAGCAGGGCAACGGCAAAACGCATGGTTACTTCGTCTCCTTCCTTCTACCGCAAAGTAATTAAATTATTTGTTTCTGGTGCTATATATATAGCACGTATACCTTGCAAAAGATAAATTTTAATCCCAGATAATTTTAACGTAAATCCGATTACTTAGAAATCAAGTGAAACAATCTATGAGTGATTGTGCCTATTCAGTGTTTTATCTGTACAATGTCCAGGATTTGTATACCGAAAATTCAGATGTACAACATTGTGTTTTTGTTAACTAAATATTTAAGTAATGCTGTCTTGTTTAGAGCTTGTAATGCCTACTATAAGAATCATTTAGAAATAGATATATTTTATTTGTCCTTTCTAAAATTTGTAAAGTCGATTTATGAACAATAATTTATGTTATTTGTTTTTAGTTCATTTCTTTTTATTATTTTCTTTGTGTTTAAAAAATACCAAGTAGTGGTTCGTTCTCTTTAAAGTTATAGTGGAAACTTTGCTGGTTTAAGTGATAAGTTTTTTTTTTATACTATAATCTTGTATACAAATTGTAATCTGTTTATTTTCCAAATAAAAAAAAAAAAATAAAAAAGTTGATTTTTACTAAAAAGTGTAAAAATTGAGATTTCCTCATCGTAATTGTAAACCTAAACACTTTTAGTATGCTTGTACTTATTACAGCCCATTATTTTTAACCCAATCAAGAGTGAAAATATAACATGTTATTTGATTTAACAAAAACTTCAATAATTTAAGGAAGTTCAAAACTTAATTTATTGAAGTCCACTATCAGTGTTATGATTGCCACGAAATCAATAAAAAATCGATGAGTAATTAATTCTCCGTATTTAGCACAATTTTAAATCATGTGGTTCCCGCTTGGAAATGAAAAAATTCGGATGGGTTACCAACGACATCTATGTACAGTCGATTTCCTACGATACCTGACCCCGCTTTCTTACACATTCAACAGAAAACTGTCATGGAATTCCAGCTTTTTGGTTAAAAATTTTATTTATGTAATGTAACTAAATACGCATAAAAAGTTTCTTAAAACATTATTCAGTGATGTTGCAAGAAGGAAGTCATACCTAAATGAATTTTACATCTGTGGGCCGGTTAAAAGTTTGTTTAACACCTTTCTTAATATTAATCTACTCAGAATCAATTTGACCGTTAGTGGGTCAGATATCTTAGCACATCGACTGTACTAGCGTGAACTCTTTGTGGATTGCAGTTTTCTCTTACCAACCCGAGCCTGTAGTACGCCGACGGCAAATCCATTTTCAAGTACTACGTTTTCTTGTCTATGGTTGCCTGTTAGTAAATAGGGAACTTCATAGGCATGCTATGTCAAATGTTCGAATGTTTTCAAATATTTTTTATGTAATCGATAAATTGAATCAATGTGATCATTGTGAAAAAAATGTCTTAAAATAGAAAATTAGCAATTAATGTAAAAAATAGGCGTATGTATGGAATGTAATTCCACCCTTAGCTAGACTGGATGCGGCAGATATTTTTTTGCAAGTTTGTAAAGCGCAAAACGACATATTTCGTGGAGTACTTGACGCGATGAATTCGATAATGGAAATGAAAAAACATCGATTCGGATGTAATATTTATTGTGCCTATCGATGACGCCTCCAGTCCTATATGCTCTAAAATTTAGACGAAACAAACGCTACAAAACAAAACACCAAAGAGATAGAATAGAACTGGCCAAGTACCGCTTAAATTTTAACCAATATTTTTTATGTAAAGATTTGTGGCCCGGTTGCAAGACTTTTAGGCCAATTTAACCAATAAGGAGGTAGTATAGCGTTTGAGTAGCGTCCTAATTGATATTCTTAAAATCAAAAATATGACGTTCTTTTTTTGAAACTCATTAAAGTTCTGTGTAAAGTACTTTAATACTCATTACTGTGTACCATAGACAATAGAATTTTGTTTCAGACCACTAAAAAGAGCGCCTGTATGATATGGCGAACTTATAATTGACAATGTGTGGAAAAACATGTTACTACAATAATAAAACTTAAGCTAAGTACGTTGGTGATTATTACTCATCCACCTTTTTTAAATCGTAGCCTTGTCTCAAACGTCATCGATAGTCAAGCGAAAACAATGATTGTATTTTTATTATCTTTTCTGTTCAGTGTGTACGTTTGATAATTTTTAGTGTGTTCTTATACATCACGGGCTACGGTGAGATTTCATCGCGACCAATGTACTTATTGAAGTACTTTATAAGTGCATTTTTACATCTTTTGTAGCTAAGTCATAAAATAATTTGACATGTTTGTTTTATTACTAATTTTTATTTTCTTTTTTATTTGAACATGAAAAAAAATAATTATGATTTATATTTTCAGTTTTCAGTATACGCATCACATATCTCATAAACAAGATTACAGAACTATTCTTATTATATAATCACGCATTCATCAGTCTTCGCTGTTGTATACAAAAAAGTTAGTTAGGCAAAAATTTTGTTCGTAAAATAGCAAACTGTTTACTGTTTAGGAAATTAATATAACATTATTTTTTCGGATCTAAATTAAGTCTGTACTGTTATCAACTTATCACTTACCTAACATTAACAACATGAACCTGTACTACAACTTAATACTAACATATTACCGCGGTGGTCTCCTCTGACTTGTATTTAAATATTTCCAAGCTCCATAGACGTGCTACATTTAGGACATCGTTTATAGGACCACTATTACTCTAAACCAATGTTAACTAAATGCACAAGGCTTTATTCCAACCCGCAAATGTTCCTTCGAAATAGGAATATGTGGCCGCCGGAAATATATTTCGACAGCCTCATCGATATCGACATACAAAATAACATTATACAGTGTGTTTTTTTAAATGGGACAGTATGAGGAAATCCGATGCCATAGAAGATACAAGGATAAAAATTAGGATCAATTTTATTCATTTTTATGGACATCTTACGATTGAATAAAAAAATTTACTATGCCAAAATTGTTTTCACAAAAAAGTCTTGATGGTACCTAAGACAGTTTTCTTCTTCTACTGTTTCAGATTTCTAAACACTAACTCATTTAAAAATAAGGCTGTATATAATAGACACAATATATTATGTGATGATACCAAGTGAAGGGATGAACAAGTCGTGCGCTTGGTTGTAAGTGCCACGCTTGTCCGTAGCTGTTATAATGCCACTCAGAGCCTGGTAGGGAGTGTCAACGTCAAAAGGTTTTTTTCCCCTAGAAACCGTGCGGTGTTGCCTAGCAAGTTATGGAAACGACCTGGTTAAATATTATATCTTCGAACGAGGCGACTCACATAATAGTGATCGAACTTCCCTTCAAGAAGCTCATTTGATCATCTATTATTCCTTTTAAACAATGTAGACTTTAGGGAGTGAGGTGTTGATAGTGTGTTTTATCTGATCTGTAAACGTTTAGATTAGAACTAAATTAAACTAGTGCATAAATTTATAAAATCTGCTTTTCATTTTATCCAGCTCTAGAATTGTCTTTTTTTTATTCATGGCACCAAGTGACAGGATGAACACGACACGCCTGTCCATAGCAGTTGCAGTGTCACTCAGAGCTTTAAATTGGAAAGATCGGAAGACTCTGAAGATCCGAAGCCACTGCGCCCGTCACCCTGAGATGTAAATTGACAAGTCCCATGCGGCTGTAATTTCACCAGCACCCTTACCATTCAAAACCGAAACGCGGTAATGCTCTTATTACTGGCGGCAAAAATAAAAAAGGTGGCGTACTAGATAACACTACACAAAAATAATTTAAAATATTTTAAACGAAAATACATTTTTTTTAATTCCCGCCTCCTGTAAAATTTCTTGTTTTCCTGGCCTCTTATAAAAAAAGTTTGCCGACCCCTGGTCTAAACGGACACGGTCCAAGAATAGTTATAGGACATACTTATGCCGGTTGGGTAAACATTCAAACGACCCAGTACATTGCATCAACAAAGAGAGATGGATAGACAACAACTAAGGATTAGACACGAGCTCAACATGTTAATCAAAGGTCAGCATAACAAATGCTTATTAAACTCGGTTTACCCTGCCCTTGCTAATTTACAAAGCAGCCTTTACATGTTGAATAAGATTGTATTTTACGCTATACGGAAAATATTTAGAGATTAACAATATGTTAAACTATATTTTTTTTATAAGTATTTCAAGTGTAATAATGCGTACCTATGAAATAAAGATTGTTTTGAATTTGAATTTATGTTCCTAGTATTACGTGCTACATTTGTAGTTACATATATTATTATATTTCGTCGCTACATTCTCGATATAATATTTAACCAGGTTTTTAGAGAAAAAAAAAATGTTTTGACGTTGACACTCCCCACCAGGCATCAACCGCCATTTTCTATCCTCATTCCTTGTTCGTGCGTGGCAACAAGCACACCTCCACAGCTCCGTTAAAATGTCAACGCGAACAAACTTAGAAAAAATCGAATATTATATAAGTAAACTGAAATACTTGGAAAATACAGATGCCAAACATCGTCGGCGTTATAGAATCATAATATCATCGGACAAGTCGGACATTGATCAAGGTAAGATTTTTTCTTACGCTCATAATTAATGAAAATAAAAAATGAAAATATTAATTTTTATCATATAGCACTACTTGTTACTTCCGTAATTATAATAAATGTTCGTTTTCATACATCGCAAATGTAAATCCAACCTACATTTAATAAAACATCGGGTTAACTGCCAGTTGTCCCCGATAACCAAATCGAACATGCGTGGATGAAAATCCGAACAGACAGAGTTGATTTTAATTTGAACAGTATTAGTACCTACGTGCTAATAAGTAACGTATTTAAAAAAAAATAAACTAAGTCAGAGTTACCTGCGAGTTAACCACTATAATGGGATCGACTGCGAGTCGATTTTAATTTGAACAATATTAGTTCTAACATGCTAAAAAGCAAAGAGTTTTTTAAATAAAATTACGTCGGGGTTAACGACGAGTTGACCACGATAACGAAATCGACTGCGAGTCGATTTTAATTTGAAGAATATTAATACCAACGTACTAATAAGTAAAATATTT